GACCGGGACACCATCAAAACATGACCGGGACACCATCACAACATGACCGGGACACCATCAAAACAAACATGATCGGGACACCATCAAAACATGACCGGGACACCGTCACAGCACGACCGGGACACCATCAAAACATGACCGGGACACCATCACAACAGGACCGGGACACCATCAAAACATGACCGGGACACCATCACAACATGACTGGGTCACAATCATAACATGACCGGGGCACCAGCATCACATGACCCGGTCGCCATCAAAACACAACCGGCACACCGCCAAAACACGACCAGGACACCATCACAACAGGACCGGGACACCATCAAAACATGACCGGGACACCGTCACAACGCGACCGGGACACCATCAAAACATGACCGGGACACAATCACAACATGACCGGGACACCATCACATGCCTGGGTCACAATCAAAACATGATCGGGACACCATCAAAACATGACCGGGACACCGTCGCAACACGACCGGGACACCATCAAAACATGACCGGGACACCATCGCAACATGACCGGGACACCATCAAAACATGATCGGGACACCATCACAACATGACCGGGACACCATCAAAACATGACCGGGACACCATCAAAACAGGACCGGGACACCATCACAACATGACTGGGACACAATCAAAACATGATCGGGACACCATCACAACATAAGCGCCACCATCACATGATCGGGACACCATCAAAACATGACCGGGACACCGGACACCATCAAAACATGACCGGGACACCATCACAACATGACCGCGCCACCATCACATGCTCGGGACTCCATCAAAACATGACTGCGCCACCATCACATGATCGGGACACCATCAAAACATGACCGGGACACCGTCACAGAACGACCGGGACACCATCAAAACATGACCGGGACACCATCACATGACCGGGACACCATCAAAACATGACCGGGACACCATCACAACATGACCGGGACACCATCAAAACAAACATGATCGGGACACCATCAAAACATGACCGGGACACCATCCAGGACCGGGACACCATCACAACATGACTGGGACACAATCAAAACATGATCGGGACACCATCGCAACATGACCGCGCTCACAACATGACCGGGACACCATCACAACATGACCGGGACACCATCAAAACATGACCGGGACACCATCAAAACATGATCGGGACACCATCACAACATGACCGGGACACCATCAAAACA